CAGACTATAGAATTATAGTCAAACTGGACTAGATAGAATATGGGAACATATCGGAAAATCCCAAAAGAAATGGGAAACGTATATTTTTGGATGCCAATATTCTATCTACTCCAGGAATCTCCAGGATGATTTTTCTTGACTATACACGCTGAGCCGAGCAGATGTTCAGCCGACCTCCCATGGTGCCATAGTCCCACCAGCCACACGCCGCTGCTCAGCGAAGTGCATGAGCCGTGAAGTGCGGCCCTGGAAAAACAGCAAAAGACTCGTTGGATCTCGTTGGCATGGGGAATGGGCAGCAGTTGGCATAGGGAATGGAATAGTTTGCTTGAAACATGGTACTTGAGGGTTGATGATGTGTTGGGTAGCAGTTGGCACGTGTTGGGCGACAGCCCAGCGAGAGAGACTCATGGTGATGAAAGACTGGAGAGATGAAGAACGGTCCGGAGGGTATGGAAAAAGGACACTTGATTCATACCTATAGTTCTTCCATTTCCAGAAGCCGTGGATGATGATGGTCAGTAAAGGCCGACATCTCACATCATCTGTTATTGACTGATACAGCTAATTGGACACAACCTGGTGATCTAGAAAGGAACTAAAAAAACACCTGTTCCGCCTTGCACAGGCGAGGACAGCCAAACAATCACGAGTCTTTTCCTCATAAATATAAAGCTGTAGTACATCAAAAAGGGAGACAAACATAATTGTACGAACGCCATGGATTTGCATTTGACTCTTGAAGTCCTGGTACAGTATGGTTGCTCTCAAGCGTGCCTCCAAGCAAGGGTCAGCCTGACCTCAAAGAAGGCTGCTGCAGGAAGAATTGCAAATGCGCACAAATCATTTTGCGTGAGCTGAGCTGTGATCGGTCGAAGGCTTTCCTGGCCAATCGAGGAACGCCCGGAAGGCATGCTGCTCACGTTCTACAGTAGCAAAGGCCATTCTGAGACCATCATCGCGGATGATGTCTTCACATGGCGTTTTCTCACAAGGTCCTGGCCTGAAGAAATCAAGGATGCTCCCAGAAGCTTTTGCGGACTGGTATGCCTGCAATGTGGTGGTTAAGTTTGCCAAGAAAGCACGCCAGGACCCCATACTGTTCAAACGTGTTTGAATGGACTCCCTTGAACTTCCTCTGAGGGCCTTCAAGTGCAAAGAGAGTCCGTGGCAGCCCTTTGGTCCTTCTAAACACTTCTGAACCGCAGCATCGACCAGTTATCCTTCGGTTGGCCTATAGCTGTCCCTCTGCTTGGTTGGTCTTTGGCGATGGCCACAAACCACGACCGCCACAACCGGCCCCGGTTCGCCCTGGATCGCCTCCAGCATAGCTCCCGGAGCCGAACGTAGTAAGGCATTCGAACCCTCCCGATCTCCGTGCATCGTCATGCCACAAGCACCTGCGGGCATGCAGGAGGTCCGGCGGAGCACAGCAGAGTCTATTTGGCTATGGCCCTGGTCAAAACCGAGGGACCCTGGTTGACTGCTGAAAATAAACCGATTCCTTCAGATTTTGCTCCAGGTTTTGACCCACACCCATTTAGAGATTGAATTTGCTGGAAGCCTGGAGTGGGGAGCCCGCAGTTGCACCAACGAGCAAAGACAGGAGACTGTCGCAACCCCTGGAGCCAAGCCACGTTCAAGGAGCTGGACCCCGGGATTACGAGTGAAGTTCTCGCCATTGTTGAGCTTCGTGATCTCCTGTGTCTTGACCAACCAGGTGAAATACACCAGCTGAAAAACTTCTTGGCACAACTCAGGGGGCAGCCAGCAGATTAATAGATGGCTCAACACCACATGTCAATTGAATCATCTTTGAGCTAGAAATCACGCAAACTCCGCGTTAAAAAAAAACACGAGATCTAAGGTTGCACCTTGACAGCAACAAAAACATTGTAGATTCTGTAGATGGCGCATTCCACTTCCACCCCACACCCTCCCTTTCTTCCCATCCCAAGGCTCTTTCTTTCCCATCCCCCACCGAACGTGGCACGAAAGCACAAGGACTGCACAAGCAAAAGATAATGCCTAAATCTGGCGCAATTAAAAACATGGTCGCCGCATCAACGCTCACCCCGGAGTAAGTGAGATCAAATAAGGCAGCACTTGTGCAGCACATCCTGCTTATTCAGCAGGCGCCTTATCTCATCATATATACTCTCACCTTTTCTAAGGAATACGCCTACAGTAAGTAGTATCATTGATTGGCATGTGCCATCTGTGGTTCTGACATTAGGCCTCCACGCCCAAACAAGGGGACGAGGTTTTGGGCCAAACATTTGGCAGTTTTGCAGGCTTTTGGGACTTGTAGATAGCCATCAACTTTCCGATCGGAATACTCTGACTTGATATATTCATATCATGATATTAAAATAATATGATCGATGATGACGGAGCCAATCTACCATGCGTGTGACTGGAGGGCCTGATTTCTTCCTGCAGACTTGAGACTTTGACTGACCGGCACGCTAGCTACAAGTCCCCCATGCATGAAATGGCTGCCGACAATCCCTGTCCTCAACCAACGCATGCAGCTTTGCAAAGCCCAGCACGGTCATGTAAACATACCTTAGTGCCCGTTCCTGAAAGTACTACTAGGAGCGATCGGACGCTACGAACGGGGCTCCTGGCATCGCTACGAACGGAGCAAGAACTTCCTCACCGAAAAGTCACATGTTGGATCCAAGAACCATGTCAGGACCCAGTCAGGACCCAGTCAAGGACGGACCCAGTCAGTGAAACCATGTGTGGTGCAAACGATGAGGTTCAGCACGCCGATGAAAGCCATACGGAGAGATCAAAAGAACTCATCCTCCAAACCCAATGACTTGGGGCGGGGCAAGGTGAAACGCATGGAAGGTTCATGCTCCCAGCAACCCCACCGGTCGACGGGGCGCTCAAAGTCGGAATAATTGGAGCAGAAGTCTTCCTTCTTCACTTTGTGCCTGCCGATGTCGGTACGTTCAACAGCAAAGCACAGTCCTAACACATGGTCAAAGGCTTTACTGTTGGAGCACGTGCAGCACAAAGGCTTACACAAAAAAACGCTGTGATATGCTGTGATTACTGCTAACATGCTTAACGTCTCATGCTCAAGAACCACACTCCAGACTTCTTTCCGGCTAGTTCTTGGAGACCGGGTGGACCGGTCTCAAAGCGGCACTCTACAGCTATTTTGCTTTGTGCCTGAGACTTGGCCGCGACTGTGCGAAGTGTTTGAGGCCCCCCAAACCTGGGAAACATCGAGGAATTCTCGAGACTCCTTGGAAAAAGTGTGCGAAATGCGAAAACTGCAGTCACTGCAGCCACTGGCGCTTCGCTGGTGCTTCCACAGCATCACCAAGACTTCACAGAACAGTGGTGACAAAGCCCGTTCCTTCAGGTTTCACAACACTCATTCCTTCAAGCCACTCGTAGCAAGGGGCATCTCTACTAGTAGCGAGGGCACTACTACCAGTAGCAAGAAGCTACTAGTAACACACAGCTTTTTTCGTTGATCAAGACGGGGGCCGGAAGAGAATGTCCTCATCAGTAAGGCAGGAATCATCCTCGGTATGTCGGTTTGGGAACTTATTGGGTTTGGGTGCAGTCGGGGAGACATGCTTGAATATTAGGGGCCCACTGAGTGTTGCTTGATGAATCTTGATGATGCTTGTCTTCTGCCACTGTCAAAGCCTCTGAATTCTTAAGCCAAAAGCAAAGCTTGCAAAGGAGGACTGTTAATGATTGTGCTCCATTGATAGCTTTCAGTTTTAAGGACAGGATGTATAGTTCACTGTGGCAGCATAGCCAGGTTGCCAATTCCTCTCCATGCGAAGTGGACACTTTGGCACCCATGGCGTCGCAACGTAGCCGCTTTGGCATCAACAGCTGCGCAATGTTCTGCAGCGTTTCAGTTGGATCCAGTGAATCCAGTGCATTGTATCAGGTGTTGGCTCCTAATGAGAGCATCCTCTCTCTCACTCCATGTAGGTACAAGACTCCGTCGAACAAAATCAACAAATAAGAAGAACTTAGAACAACTCATCTTCAGGGTTTCAATTCCTCGAGTTGTGTATGTGTGGACGTCCCCGGTTCAGTGAGTTTAGTGAGTATAGATTTTGTACAATCAATACCCCGAAAGGCCCCTGTTTGTCAGGGAAAACATCTTTTCCAGTGGTGTTTTTGCATGTTTTTGCTTCCATATTCCATGTTCGCTTCGGGTGTCAATGAAATTGACCGACATCTCTGCTCAGAATCTCTACACCCGTACCTCAACCTTGCTCTGAGGAAATCAGGCACGGCCGCGGAATCAAGAAAGTAATTTTTGCAATGTTGCATTTGCCTCACCCCATCGCAACGCACGTAGACTTGAATCCCGATCTCCGGCCCGTGCATAACGACAAGAAGAACGTCTGCAACGAAGAAAATCAAAGCCTCATGTGGTCCATGCCCAGCCGAGTGGCCCGGCTCGAACCGCGCGACATGAAGTGGAGCCATGGCAAGCCCAGCATCCAGCTGCGGTATACCAGCCCGAGTGCAAGTTTTCTCAACAAAGTGAAAGCAACGTGGCAATCCGTGGTTGCCGCATATGAGAATGACCTAATCTAGCTTTCCACGGGCCTGGAATCATAGAGTACTAGGAAACGTTGACCACATTGCTTGCAAACAATCAAAGCTCCCCGTGAAAATCAAACGCGGTGGGACGCACCAAGGACTAAGACAATCTCACTTGTCAAAACTTCAAACCACTGCTGATTGCAATTGCTATTGCCTTGTAGTATGTCCATGCCTATGCAGTCCATGGCCTTCATTCACTGAATTGTTAACACAGGAAGCTGACGGGGAGGTGCCAAGTGTTTGAGAAGCATAGCCTATGAAGCTTATAACAAGTAACTATAGAGAGGAAAAGGAAGGACGTGAAAAATTAAACCACAGTTGTTGCAAACGGTTGCAAACTGCCGTAAAATCCAGTTCCTGATGTCATTTCAAATGAAACAAGAGCTTTCCAATTTCCAAGCCTGTAGTGCACGACCACGCTCCAGCTGATCTGTCATCTTCTACCTGCGGTCGCTGCAGCGCCCTTTGTGGTACACGAAAGGGATCCAAGGGATCCAAATGGTCCAAATCCGCATCACATCTGCTAATTACCTGCTACTTCAGCTTTGGCCCAAAGCCGAAGCCTCTCAGCTTGAAAGGACTTGGAGCACAAAAAGAATTGCCTCCATCGAAACTGAATGGGAGCGATCAGGGCAACTTCGGCCATGATCCAGGTCTGCCAAATCGATCTTACTCGCTGTGAGAAGCATGCATGCCACCTCCCAACAGCATGACAAACGACTTGAACAACCGGAACTTGAAACCAGCGTCTGTACCTGTATAATAACATTATTCTATATTATTCTATATAATGGTCCGTCTTCCTTTCCAAGCTACTTGCCAAATCTTAATTGTCTTTATTGGACCAGCAATGCCAGTAATTCTTCATTTGACAGTCTGGCATGACAACGTTCGTGTATGTAGCATTGCATATGTGTATATATATATATACACCGCCAACCGTCATTCTGAGACATACCAGCAAGCTGAACCGCCAAATGCTCTTTAATGACGGCTTGAGTGCGGCGATTAGGACTGGAATCAAGATTGAATTTCTATGAATTTCTACAACTTCTCACAGCTCAATATATTCACCTCTGCATAAAGGGCAAGCAAACAGCTTTTCTCTTCGCCCATGTTCCTGCCACTAAGCTGGCACGGGCAAAAGTGCTGTGATGCCGCATCCGAGGAGGTAATCGAGGCGAATGCACTAGATCGACTGCAGCCGCTGAAGCAAGAAGAGAGCTTCCACCCTGCGGGTTCTCCAAATGATTTCAGAGGCAGCAGTGTGAAAACCTCGTCTCTCGGTCTGGCAATACGCCAATTGTTGTGCGATGCCCATGATCCTGCAAGACTCCTGGAACCACGAAGTGCACTTGTCGTACAAGGTGTCTTCTTTCATCTCAGCTTCCATGAGCGCAAGAATGGCCTCTGCGGCTCTCCTGCTGCAGTGGGCGAAATCCAGAATCTCTTCATGATACTCCATGCCTGAAAATCCTAAAATGGACTCCATGGTCACCTCGCCATGGTGGACCACCCGATCAGCAACTTGCTGGATGGCCTGGAACTTTCTCAACATTTGCTCATGGCAAAGCTGCTGCAATGGCCTTGGACAGCAAAGTCCGATCTTCCACTGGAACAACTTGTGACTTGTCTTGTGTTAGGGTGTTGCAATGAGAACATGTACACGACAAGAGGTTACAGCTGAAAAGGAAACTGCCAACATGTCTCAACAGCACCTCCTGGCCTGCAAAGCTTATTCAAATCATTCAGCTGATCCAGTGTCATCTTTGGAACTAGAATCAGCAATGCTTGGAGGTTGGCCATGGCAACAAAGAAAGCGCTTTCACTAAGAAACCAGTTGGGGTCCTTACAGCCTTACAGTTCACAGGGAATCAAACCAAAGGCTCAAAGCGAGTCATGTTTCATGCTTCAATTTTGTCTGCCCTTGATGCATGTCCTGTCTGAGGCTACGGGTCGCCATACATTGAAACGTTGTTTCCTTCTACTAAGAGGGGATCATTTCAGAACGAGGACAGTAAATCACATAAAAATCATAAAACATGTCCATTCTGCAGCTGTGAGCGAATGTTTCGTCGCGTTTCGGTCAGTGTTGATTGCATCCTTTTTTAGGCCAGGGCCGAAAACAAGTCCCGCAATCATGATGTCGTAGCATGTCATGGCGGTCTCGCGTCTTTTAGCACCACAATCCGGGGTGTTGCGAAGGTGCCTGTACAAGCTGAAGAAACGAGGTACGCATACGTATGTTGTTCCAACTCAACAGGCCGCAACAAACAATTATGATCTGCCTTGGGCAGTGGGGTGACATCACCCACCAAATCTCACCAGCATACTCTGCAGCCACTGGGCGTTCTGCAGCAACTTGGGCTCCTGACTTTGGATGGCGATCTGAACCAAGTTGGACAAAAAGGGGGCCTTGCCCACATAAGCTGTGAGCTCGGTCTGAAAAACCAAGATCAAATCACCGACCACTCCAACAGCAGCCTTAATCACTGGCATCTGTGATGTCTGATCTTCCGAGATCTCCTTCACCAACATCAGCACTGTATTCACATGCTCTTTAAAGAGGGGCAATTTGCCCGACTCTTTTAGTCCATGAATGATGCCAGAATATGCCTCCAAAACCCCTTCCCTTAGGCTATTCAAGTACTCAATCCATTCTTCGCTGTCGGCTGGACCATCGGCAAGTCTGGTCGAAGAGGCTTCCCGAAGCATCTGCACGACAGGGCCCAAATACTTCTCAAAGTCGCCAGTGATAGCCATGGCAATGTCACCAAAGCATGTCATCACTGCCGCCTTGATTTTGCGGTCGACGGCCGGATTCTTCAAGTTGGTATAGAGAATCTCTAAGATCATGTCGCAATATCCAGCGACTTTGCTCTCCAGTGCTGTGCATAGATCGCCGACCATCCGTGTTGTGGTCAAGCACACCTGGATCTCCTCGTAGTTTTGCAAACCAACCGTGAGGTGCGGCGCAAAGTGTGGCATGAAGCGATCGAAGCCCGAACCAGCAGCATTGGCCAGCGCAACAATCAAAAGCAGCGCCTCCTCATGAAGCACCTGCGCACCTCCTCTGACCTGCTGATAGGCTGAGATGACCTTCAAGGCCTCCTCCATAATCTTGTCGGCCAGTGGAGCGATCCTCTCCCTAAGCCTGGAGACCAAGGATGTGAGAACTCCACAAATGTAGCCCTGGAGCTCACACTCTCGATCAATTGACTTGTAGGATTCTTGCAAATGCTTCAGCATCTCTTGTGTGAGTGCCTGCATGTGTCCTAGGCAGTCATTGCCTGCTTTGCTCACCAAAACGCTCAAAGCATTGTAGCCGGCCATCCGCAGCTGCCGCTCATCAGCATCTGGTCGGGCCACTACCTCAAGCAAGGCCATGGCAATGGCGGTGAAGAACTCCGAAAGCACCGTGCTGTCAGGGTATGGCACTGTGCCTGCACCCGCAGCCTGGGCCTCAGCCAAAACCTGCACGTTCCAGCAAATGTTTGCAGAGACTCGTGGAACATCCCGAAGTTTCTCGCAAAGCAAAGGCATGAGCTGCTTCACAGGGACGATGGTTGGATGAAATTGCGCAATTCGACCCAAGGTCCATGCGATGGTGTCACGAACCGCTACACTTGGATCCTGAAGTGCCACCACTAAGGAGCTCAAGCTGGATTCCACCATGGGTCTCATCTTCTCACTCGTGGGACCCTCCATGATCGAGCCATAGGCCAGGACGGCGGCCTCCCGAAACTTCCAATCCGCATTGTTGAAGTTCACGGTGACAAACTGAAGAACCAAGTCTACACAGCCATCTCCCACCACCTGAGCCACCAAGGCAAGACAGGTCCCGGCAGCCATCGCTAGGTTCCAGGTGTCGTCGTCATCCTCGCTCTGTCTCCTGGTCAATGTTTCTGTGAGTAGTGGCACCAAGTGTGGCAAGGCCTGCTGAATGAGATTCAGAGATGCCCGGCCACCAGCTGGCTGGCCACTTTGAATCAAATCCATCAAGAAAAGTTCCTGAACTGCGTCCAGGTTCTCAAACCGCAAATCCGAAAACACTTGGAAAAAAAACACAAGCTGTACGAAAATGAATGAACATGACATATGATGGGAGGCTACTGCTACTGCATAAGTGCGACTCAGCTTCTTCGTCACATATTGTGGACCAAAACTCCATGGCGGGAATGGCAACCTTTTCTGGAGCCGATTTGATGGTCTCCAAGGTCAAAAACCCCAAGCTATTCATGTACGGAAGAAGGAAGTCATAGTACTCCGTGGCAATTTGCACCAGGCACTCGAAGGCTGCTATTTGAACCTCAGGAGCCGCTTGGAAGCAGCAAACGTCCTTCATCACGCTCATGATCACGTCCCGCTCAACTTGATTCTTGAAGTTCTTTTTTGCCAAGACTACTGCATGGTAGAATGCTCTTGTCGCTTCGAGCTTGGTGTGGGGTTCCGAATCTTTCATGCCCTGAACCACCGCTGTGAGGATATTGTTGGCAATATCATCACTGATATTGCCCCCCTCCTCCTGCACGAGCACTAGCTCCTCACATAAATAGCCAAGGCAAACTAATGAGATTTGGCGAGCTGCATTGTCAGTGTTGGTCACATGTTGTAGAAGCAGGGGCACTAACCCTGGCCACTCATTGGGGGGAATCTCTACGGCCCCAATTTTTGCAAGCACCTGTGCGGCGGCCTTGCCAACATCCACCTGCGGAAAGACCAACGCAGTGGTCGTTGCCTCCTTTACGAGGTTTCGACTGGCAGCCGGCAAGCTGGCCCATCTCGCTTTAAGTTCCCGATCTTTGGCCAAATCCTTGGCCGCAAGGCCATTCTTCAACAAAAGTCCTGCAAGCTGTCGAGCAACCACTGGCTTCTCTGCATTGGCCAGTTCCTGTGCCAAAGCCGTGAAGTATTGCTCCACATTGGCTTGCTCTGCCTGTTTGATCTGTGCCTCTGCCTGGGCACGGGTTCGTGGATCCTGAGTGGCCAATAGAAGCTCTGTAAGACTCATCGTCACCCATCCGCCGCGGAGTGCCGCTGGTGATTTCGGAGTGCTGCTGGTCTTTTTGGCACCTCAAAATCACCCCGGTTTGGTTGTTTGGGCTTTGCATGTGAGTTCGTGAGTCAAAAATTCTGCGGATGCCAGTGTGACTTGGAGTGCGGTGTGGTGTGGACTTGGAATTCAGCTATCTCTGTGCTGAAGCCACCAATGAGAATCACAGCAACTTTCTTGCCCAATTGCTGCGCAAGAAACTGCTCCAACAGCCGCTTCAATGCCACTTTTGAGGATTGACTCATTTTGAGTCAACATGAGTTTGATATGATATTGTTTTGTACAACATGTGCAGTTTTCCGATGTACAGTTCTTTCTATGGTCTTTTTGGTCTGGGAGCGATGATCGCACAACATCCTACGCTACAGAGACGCTATGTACAAGAGCAAAGTCACCACTCTTCATGAAATTGAGCACTCCACGTCAGGACTTGGCAACACGGAGGAACTGGCATCAAAACAAAACCGAACATGTTGGAATGGCCTCCAAAACTATTACGAATAGTCACTACCAATGTTTTTCCAACATTTATATATCCGTAACGTAACCGTCGGCTTTAACAGGGTCTATGTCCGTGTGTCTCTGTCTCTCTCTCTCTCTCTTTCTCTCTTTCTGCCTGTTGTTCCTGTTGTTCCACCATGTTCCACCTATGAACGCACATGCCCCTGACACCCACAGTGGCAACATCCGCTTTGCAAAACATGACTGGCCTGAAAAAACACGCCAGGTAATTTCCCAAAGTTTGGATCCAACTGGGCCCACGGACTCTTCGATGGCCATACGCTTGCACAGCACCTGGCTGTCTGTGACCGTGTTTGGCGTTTCCACTCTCAGCCAGCAAGGCTTGGTTGGAAACTAGCAACGTTTCCTGTCGATCACTTACGTAGTGACGTATCTGCCTGCTATGTTGAATTTACAAGCACCGAGCTAATCTTACGTTCGGCACGCCAGCCATAGATGCAAGGAGGCAAAATAGTTTTGCAAAGCCAAACAAAAACAAAACAAAGGCAAAAGTAAGACAAACCACAAACAAACAAATGTAGCTGTGCGCGTTTGTCACTATTTGTTCACTTTTGTTCGCTTTATTTTCACACCGGTGGATCTAGACCCATCACCCTGGTACCTTTCAGGCCCCAAAAGCCGCCATTCTTTTTTGACACAAATGAATGGGACAATGCAAGCCGGAGCGCGCCTTTTCTCAGCCGATAGAGGGCTAGGTGCATGGACATGTCGATTGCTGCACAAAACAGGGAGGGGGTTCTGCAAGGACGCCTTTCAGAGGCCGTTTCTGGGACAGCATTTGCAGCCCCTCAGCTGCATGAACTCTCTCTTGTGCGCTTGTGAATGACCCCCTTCTCATTTTTCTCTGGCCTCACTGAAAGCCATGTGCTCAAGCCACCGCTGAAAGCCATGTGCTTGAAGCGCCAAAGCACAGTGCTCTGCATGATCGCCAAGACTCCGCATTGGGCTCATGCACCCCGCAAAAGGTCAGCAAATCTCTCTTGCCAAATCCACTGAGGCAATGGAACTGATGCGCTCAGTGATCTGTTTTGCTCTGCATACGTGGTCTCCTCCTCCAGGCCACTGCCCAGCTTCAACCGAAGCTGCTCGAGCTCATTGAATCTTGTCGCTCAACCCTACTTCCCAAAGTCTGCGGTGTTGTCGCATGGCACTGCGCGCAGGCTAAAAAGCTTTCGGTCCACTGCATCTTGCACCCACAATGACTTCACCTCCAGGCGCTGATCCTCCCAACTCCGTGTCTGTGGCAGATTCCCTTGCCGCGCTGCAACCGGGGTAAACCTCCATCTGGAGTGGGAAGCCAAAGAAGCCCTTTGGCAGCCACACAACGCGCCCTATGCAGCTTGCGCATGCTTCCACCTGTTGGCGCCTTCATGTCCTTGGTAAATTTACGAACGGCAAATTGCACATCCGTCCTGCCATCGAAATGTAAAAAATACGTAAAGGGCGATGGCAACGCCTGCCCTATAGGTTTTTCAGGCTTGCCCCGCGCAACTTCTCACCCTAGCGTAGAAGGTGAATCTATTAATGGAGTGGATTTCCAAAGCCTTCCTTGGCCTTGTGGCATAGAAGTCGTCCACGTGCACTTCCATCAACACTCCACTGGTGGAGTGGAGTTGTAGAAGAACAGCCATGGAGTTGCTGGATTCCGCTTGATGTCAACCTCCTTGAGATGCTCAGCTGCCCATTCGACAAGCGCGTCTTCCATACCACTCTGCGTTGAGCTTCCACAACACTCGATCTGGTAAATCAGCTCAGGGTGGCTTCACAAAGGCCTCTTCAGCGATGGGCGCCTGCCAAAAATGCGCTCAAGAAGCTGTAGCCCATCTTAATGATGCCCACCAATGTCGATCAAATTAGAAGTCAAAGTACTAGACGCCACCGCAAACACTCTGTTCTGGGATCTCCTCTTTATGAGCTCCCTGACAGTACCGACACCCTGAACCATCTGGCTTGCGGGTTCTGACCCACACAGCATTTTTGATCTTTGCGTGACCAGAGCCAATAGCAAGTGCCAGTCTGAGAGCTTCTTGCCCTCAATCTCACACGAGTCGTCAGTATCTGCCCAGTCCAAACGTTCTCCAGCAACATCAGAAAGCCAAAAGTACACAGCACTGGTCCTCTGCACTCTGCTAGGTGAAGTGGATCCGGCAGCTGCACTGGAAGATCTTGATGTGATGGCATTGGTATGCCTTGGGCTTTGTCCTGGGCCAAGAGCTTGTGACCCACTTTCCACAATAGAAGCACTCACGATTGATTTTTTGCTGGCGCAGGTGGCTTTTCCTTTTTGTCGAACTTGCCACCCTTGCTGACATACTTGTCATTCTTGGACTTGCCGCCCGTCTTCCCCTTGTCGCCTTCGTTGTTCTCGTCAAGACGTCCCAACTCCATGGATTTCCGGAAGTCATGGTTCTCCTTCACAGACTCAAGCCTGGCCATCAGCCCTCTGAGTGAGGAGATTGAACAGGATGATAGCTTTCTCCTGCGCATGCCCGCCCATGCGCCGGACCTGCTTGCATTCTCCGCAGCCTCAATCAAAGCCTGGTAGCTTGTGTCTGGCAAGTTCAAAAACCTCGAGCAACGAAGACCCACGATCCCCACTCTTCTTTCTTCCCTGCGAAGCTGTTTTAACGTAACTCCTAAGTTTGCCAATCCCCTGCGTGTCGATCAGTCCTGAGCCTACCTGTTGAACTGGAAGTGTTGCTGCTGCTGCTGCTGCTGCTGCTGCACCTGAGCTTGTTCTAGTTGTCCTCCGCCAGCATCCATAGCCAAACCATCGCCTAAGGTGACCTAAGGTGAAGGGAGCAGGATGAGTCAGTGGGGCAGCCTCAGCGATGCCTGCCACCCCCTTCAAGTAGGATTGGTGCCGTGCCCCCGCCACGTCATGGACTTACAGGGTGTCCTCCACGCGGGCGCCCACGCGCGGGTCTTACCCTGTCTTACAGGAGCAGGAGCAACCTTGCTCCGCTACCATGCAAGCCGGCTGCGTGCCTTTTCTCAGCCAAAAGAGGGCTAGGTGCATAGACATGTAGATTGCTAGGCAAAAAATGGTCATTTCCCTGCAAACAACCAAAGCTATAGAAAAGTGCCTTGCTGATCGCGTCTGCCGTGTTCTCAGGCTTCGGAGAGTAGATCACCTGAATGAGAATGGATGGCTGGGAAGGGTTGAAATGTGAAAAACAAAGGTATTTGTCACAGTTGAACTTTGTATGTACCTTATATATATTATATTATAGATATGTTCTTCTCTCGTATTTTTAATATTTGTATATATATTGGCGGGACAACCATGAGACATAGGATAAGTCTGAACATGTCTGAACTAACTGAACTAACTTGGGCTCATCATCATGCTCATGCTGCCATTGGAACCACACATATTCATATACAGTATGAACAACCTGTAAACCATTCATGGCGCCAAGCACGGGCTTTCCCTTTTCATGCCTTTTCATTGAAAAACCAAGCACAGCAAAATTGAACAAAGAATCAGGGAAGGAAAAGGAAAGGACTATGAAAAGGAGAGGACAGGGAAATGGAAAGGAAAAAGGACAACGAGGAAAGACTACTACAAACAAGTAGAAGCATCTAGTTTCGGGAAAATGCCAACAACTGGGAACAAAGCGGAAACAAAGACAAAGGCACGGACAACCTGCAAAGATTACAGCTTCCTTGATTCCTTGATTCCTTCCTTCCTTCCTTCCTTCCTTCCTATCCTGCGTCCATATGTAATAGCTAACTAGTCGCAAAGGCACGGCCACGGGCAAAAAACAAATAAGAAAATAACACACGTCACACGTGACAAAAAATTAACCGCAATCTACAATTACCAGAAAAAAAGAACACCAGGGAATGCAAATAGATTGTTTTTTAATGTATACAATACTACTACTTTGGAGTCCCAAGAGGGGATCACCCTTGCTTTTTGACAGGCACATGAGACAAACGCCCACACACGCCCCGTGTGGGCTCCGACGGTCTGCAAACGGTGCTGGCCATTGACTCGAACCTGGCAACGGATTCGGCTGGTATAGGTGATGGATCCGTAGAATTCACCAAGAATGACAACGCGATTTTGGCGAACTGGTTGGTTGCAGGTTCAAAGCATTTTTTACTTGATGATGTCTGACTGTCAACCTATATCACCTGTGCCTCCGTCGCCGAGGAATTCCCGTCGCCTCTTTGAGTTCGAAGAGCCCTCCATTGGCTGCGACTGGGCGCGCAGCCAATCTCCCAGCAACATCTCTAGGCCTTGTCCAAAGGAAATGCATCCGCATTGGTTGCGCTATGGGCGTGAATGACATGACCTTGTTGAGGATGGAAGGACCTGTATACATCGAAGCTGGCCGTTCCCACACGATAGCACCATCTGTTCTACGACGATTTAGGGCGCACTCCTGCGTCCGGTGAAACATGCAGTTCCATGATAGGAAGGAATTGAACGTTCAAGACCCCGTAAGCACCCAGCACAGTGAAAGTGATGCAGTGCTTCCCGCCATCCTTAGGGAAGCTCTCATGAGACTCCTGCACAAACAGTTGCAGGAAGAAACAAGTTCATAGGCTGAGGCAAAAACCACTGGCTCCAAAGTATAAGGGAGCTTCGGATCCTGGCAGTAGCAAAGCTCACTGGGGTTGGCTTGGCGCAAAGTTACTTTACTTCCCCAGGTTGCCTGAGGAGTAGATCCTTCCCGTCTGCTCATGTCTACTATAGGCTGCATACCTAGTGAACCAATACCAATGAATGCCAAGTTGGTAAGCTTGCATCTGATTCCGTGGAATAGTTGAAATGGTTCATTGTGCGACGGTCGTATGTACCACAAATAGAGTAGCCATGTATGTACCGCTTTCTGGTGGTGCCTTGCATTCCTGTCAGGATGATTCAACCTACTACTACCATATTTGATGATAGCGTGCATACATGTGCATCTATAATACATAACAATTACATTCCGAACTGTGGCTGGTCTACAACTTGTCTCGTCCCCATAGTTTGAGCCGTGATCAAGGTGTGAACCTTTGGCGTTGCATTGAGCATGAGGAGCATGGTTCAGCCATGGTGCCATGTCAACTTATCCTTCCTTTGGCATGTCCAGGACAACCTTTCGTCTGCAGGTGCCAGAATGCTCGCGCTGCTCGCCGAAGCCTAAGGCTTTCGTCAGCATGAGAGATCCTTAAAGGAATGACTCCCGCAAACCGACATTCTTGAAGCCATACATCTGAAAGGCTATGCTTCACTCGTCCAAATGGTGGATCAACACCGCCGAAAATTCGCATACAAACTGCCTAAGCTCTTGACCTGCACAAAAAGGAACAACTTTGAGGAGAGTGTAGCATATCTTCCAGCAAAACACTGGTACACATTAGGCCTCTTGGCCCAATGAACCAGCAAATCTCAGCAAAAACAGTCAGTCAGCCATGATTTCCTTACTGTGTTTTAGCTAAAAGGTAAAAGTTTTGTGGCCCAGAGCAACAGCCGCATTATATTACTGAAACTCTTTGTGGCTGACCCGCTCGCTAAGGCTAAAGGCTATGCTCAGACCCTCGCAGCCAAAACCACCACCATCGTTCTCCGAAAATAATGAAACGTGAGAAACCAACCTTGGGCTAGAAGGCACTCCTGTGAAAGCATACTGAGCATACTGGGTTGCTGAGCCTACCAACCACAAACTGACACATATCCTGCACACATCGTCTCTGTTGTACTGCCCATGTCAAAGCTCGTCAGGGAAGGAATCCCTGCAAAGCTCACCTGCTTTGTGACAGCCCTGAGATGCCCTGAGGGGTCACTTATCGTCACTGGAAGCTCTGGCATGGGAGGGCCCATCGTAGCGACATTCCGGAAAACCAGTCAGCACATCATATACAGCACATCGGCGCCTTTCCAGGGCACAATTCAAAACACAAAACACATGCAAAAAACGGGGCATTCCGCCCATCCTTTGCGTGCCTGTGATTCAGTCTTCTTCGTTTCAAGCTTCTTGGCCTTGAGTTCATCGGTGTCACCTTACGCAACGGTTAAAGACTCGGTGTCACCTGACGCGCCAAGGATTGCCCAGGCACCCCATGGAGCCGATCGACCGTGATTTCTGATAACGTGCGGAGTATGTAGCGCTTGCACTGCTGCTCCTCACACACCGACGCTTTGGAAGATGATCTGCAACAGAATCATTGGGGATGGTATGAAATAATTACGGGGAGGAGATTAACATGAAACGAGAGAAAAGGCAAACTCAAGCACAACAAAAACCAATCAGCACCACGGTACAATTCTAAAAGAAGTCTTCAACGGGGAAAATTCTCTACATTCTCTACATCAACACCACGAGCTACTGCAACCTCATGCGGCCCAGGGCACTGAACAATTTCATTGCCAGTGTTGCAAAAAATGAGAAAAAATCACTTCGGCCACAGTGTCAATACATCCCCAATACGTGTATTTGCCTACGGCATGATCAATCCAGTCGGCAAACAGGTGAATATGTAGCATCAGCATGTGGCAAATACGTGGGTCCTCTTTGAAGCTCTTGAAGTTGATGAAATGGTAGAGGCACTTTTCCGTCGACGCTCGCTACGTTGCTCAGCATGACATGGAAGTCCCTGCCAGTCTCTCTGGTCTTCGGCTGACAAAAAGGTTACAACATGTTAGTAAAAAGCACTTCCGGACCCAACAGTAGGCTATGCTGTAATGTCGTTGCCCTATGTTGCTGTATATATATATATACGTGTGTGTGTGATTGTGTGTGTGTATATAATGCCTTTCATTTCCAACAGCCTTTCTGCGCCTGGCCTTGCTCTTGACCTCAGGCTCCACCGTCGCCTTGTCAGCATCGTAAGGGAGCTCCGTCACCTGCCCTGGCACCCCCATCTCCGCTTGCACCTCGGGTTGCTCCTCGCTTGGAGCCACTTTGGTCGATGGTGGTGCTGACCTCGAACGGACCAGTTCCTGCGAGGCACAATGCTCGTCGTTTGCACGAAGCGGCGGGTGTGGCAAACGCGACAAAAAGGACAAGTGAACTGTGAAGAAGAAAAGTGTTTCGATTCAACTCAAAAGATCCAAGGTCTTGGTATAAGGCCCATACTTGTCCATATGAAGCAAAGTCTGGCTGCTATTCTTACAGAAGTGATGCAAAAGTTAAAGCTTGCAGTCCTTGCCCTGGGCGATGCCTACGTCCTCAAAATACGTCCGATTGGATTCAAAAGGCGACCTGACTTTCAACCAGTGCAAAAGTGGGTAACGGTTCCAAGGTGGCCATCGAAAGCCCGCAGATTTCAAGAGGAACAATGATTGTGGCGTATGGTCTTCTGATCTGATTGCTCCAGACTATCTAGCCTTCTAGACTTCTAGACCAAGAGTTTAACGCATAAATTCAACTTTGCAGGACAAGTGTCTTCATCCATTCTGGCGCCGCTCGGGACACAATACTAAGGTTCCTCATAGTGGCGACAACATGACGACACGCGCTACAGCAAACAGGTTGCTGGTGAAACCAACCGTGATGGGCCGTCTCACATCAATCTGAGCAATGCCCTTAACTACAATAGCCAAGTGTCTGGACTCTGCCTGCCTGCGAATCACAGTCAAGCTGCAGTCTACACCGTCCAGCATCTTGCTTTTTTACTGTTCGTGTCACGTGTCTTCAAATGTTTTCAGCAACAATGGGAAGCTCTTTGTGCGAAGATCATCCCTGAGCTAACACCAAACACAAGCATTAAGACACATATATATATATTAAACGATTCATTAAGATTAAGTACAAACTGGATTTTCCTGCTCTGGCCTACTTCCGGTTTGCCAGCTAACAGCGCTCGCAAATGCGTGACGCTATGGATGAGATGAATGAATGCATTGAATAACAACAAACATTCTGCAACTACGATTGGCAAAATCCCTTCACGGGCAGCCTCGTTGGTGTGCTGCTTGTGTACCTGTCTCTGTCTCACTGGGACTTTGCGACCTGCAACGAACTCCTTCTCTTTCATGTCCTGCAGCAAGCACGTGTCCATTGGAAACTCAAAAGAAACTGAGACGCAGGTTTGCCTCAGGGGGTTGTCGACCTTCAATGCAACCACTATCAGCAGCCCTATTTCATCTACAGTAGTGTTTATCTAGTGTCGCAAGGAAATACTTTCGTTTGGACGTGGAGTTGGCTATGGTGTGCGTGGTGGGCACATGATGCAAGTGGCATGACACTCACAAAAGTATCTCTCATAACTGCGAAGGTTCTCGGCAACGTCCAACAAAACAGGAGTCAAATTTCCAGCTTCCACCGACAGTAGTACAATAGTCTGCCCCAAAATACATCATTACAAGAATGTGGCTGTAGAATCTAAAAGGATCTAAAACTTTTAGATGGCAACCAGCAGGAGTCTCCCCGGTAGTTTTGACCTCCAGGTCCAGGTTCCCTTCACGCCACCTTTCTTGCTGCGACAACCGGACGGATCTGCTAGTTTTACTCAATGTGAATTCGAACCTCCGCTGCTGCAGCACTGCCCAGTCTCAAAGGCTCAGGCATCAGGCACGTGTGCCCGTCGGTAATGCCCGTGCCAGTCTCAAGATATGAAAGAATCTTGGACATGCAAGCATATTTAGCAACTCCATTGGTGTATTCAGGAAGTGTGTTGTTTGCTTTCGACTTGTTGTAACTTTTCAAAAGGGTCATGGCATGCTGGGGCACGGTCAGGCAATGACCGTAACCTTGCCAGGTCACAAGGTAGCCTTCCGGGAAGTTCCTCTTCAACAACTGCGCATTCCTTTGATTGCTTGAGTACCGCACCAAAAAAAAACAACTCCACCCCGACAGCGGATTTACCCACGATCCGAACATTGAAACAAAAGAACACCCGAGAAGCAAAACCAGGATTCTCATAGGCCGTGTTTGGATCGTGCAAGTTGCCAATGATAACTGCTTCGATACCCGCATCTGCCACGGGCGGCACGGGCCGGGCATAGGCGGGCCAAGTGCTCATGGCCACCATCCAGTTCTTGGCCCAAAGGGAGCCAATGGGGTCCGTATCCTTGGTCAAGCACTTCAGGTGGACCAAAGTCAAAGTCAGCAAACAAGTGCCAAAATGGAAGTGTTGTTGGAATAGATAGGGTACCACTTACGGTACCGTATACGTTACTGAGTAGGTTCAGGTTGGCCCCTGGAAACAGGACCTATTGACCTATTGTTCCAAAGGGACTGGAGCTTCGAACTACTATTTAAGCAAAGTCAACGTGCAGAACTATGTTTTGGAAAACAGCCCAACCTGTTTGAAATAAACACATGCTGAGATTCGGGTTCGGTGTAAAGAGAAGAAACCAGAATTACGTCTGGGATGTTTCCACCACCGCCACCACCAGTGACGTATATATATACTACTTATGTACATATGCATATCCACAGGGCCTAGTCTAGTTAATCGTTAGCCCTGACGCTGCAGGCTTCAAAGAACCCGCAGGGCTCAAAAGTTGGATGGTTCCATCGGCACCATTCGAATGTACAGGACAAACGTCTCTGCTGCTTGATGGTTCAAGGAGTCAATGGCCTAAGGATCACCTGGCAATGTTGATTATTATATAGTCAAGCTGGAGGGAATAAAAACACACTGTTTTTGCACACCCACACCCTGAACAGTTTAGTGGGTGGGAATAAACAAAATTTGTTCGCTCTAGGAAAAATACCCGAGCTTACGTTTCTATTGTCTGTCTATTCCTGCCCTTTAAGGTTGTCGATCAACTCTTCTGAGGTTCGCTTGATTTGTGGAAATCTTACCTGAACACATTGCTCAACACACCCATACAAAAACTCATTGATTTCATTGCTGCAGGCAACTGTTCAACGGGGTAGTACACACGCCCAGGGGAAGTTCATATATAATTAAAATTGTTTACGGGGTGTGATTCGTAGGTAATCTTGGCAAACTTGCTCCTACTACTACTGCTGCTACTACTACTGCTACTACTTCTGCTACTGCTACTGCTACTACTCAATCCCAAATGCTTGGTGGGCTTGACTCGGTTCACTCTCCTTGGATTACCTTGGGCCAACCAACTCGATTAAACAAAGGGCCCGGATTTAATTTAGGATGTTTTCTTGTTTTTTTTGTTTTCGTGTTTCGTGGCAGGCGCGGTACTTTGTGGACCTTGAAGTGCAGATATTTCGTGGGAGGTGCAGGACTTTGTGGATGTTGAAGTGCAGTTTTCATGGCAGGTGCAGGACTTTGTGGGCCTTGGAGTGCAGATTTCGTGGCAGGCACAGTACTTTGTGGACCTTGAAGTGCAGATTTCCTGGCACGTGCTAGATAGCTAGATAGATAGACAGATAGATAGGTAGATAGGTAGAGAGGTAGATAGGTAGAGAGGTAGATAGGAAAGAAAGAAAGAAAGACAAAAAGACATGAAGAAAAAAAGAAAGAAAGGAAGAACGACAAACAGACAGAAAGACAGACAAAAGAAAGACAGAGATAGATAGATAGATCGATCGATCGATAGACCAACAGACAGACCGACAGACAGACAGACATATAGATATAGACAGATAGATGGATAGGTAGACAGATTTGGGAGCTGTCGTAGCTGGCAAAA